AGCCATAAGGCAAAACAGAAAATATTCAAAAACTCAAAATCATTTGGAAAAAAAAAACAGGTTTGCTGCTCTGATAGAACCTGGTAGAACCACTGTGACTATGGCCCCTAGCTGCCCTTCAGGCCTTGAATTGAACCCACACCTTGGCTTCCAGCCAACAAAAGACAGGCATATGAGTTGAACATTTACCTGAGGTAGATACAGTCCTTGGAGAGAATAATCATGGGAGAAAGAAGGGCTGTTCATGGACAGGGAGACAGCTCAGGAAGCAGGAGTGCACAGAAGGATGGACACAGGGGAGAGATAACTATCAGGAGGAAGTGGGAGGGGAGCTGTTGCATTGGGGTACATTTTTGTCAATGTCATAAGACAAAGTGTTTGTGAACTGCTGTATAGAAAGTGAATTTGCTCTGTAAACTTTCACCCAAATCACAATTAAAAAAAAAAAAAGCAGAAAATATTCAGACAAACAGAATGATCAATCAGGCCAAATAAGGCTGAGGAGTTGAAAGAAATGGATATGGGGATTTGACATTTGAGTTTGGGAATATGAAATGTCTTGGTGATTTGACATGTGCCCTTCTGGATGAATAATGCAGAAAAAAACTGAAAGGAGATAGTCCCTGATGGCAACTTTTAACAGCTTGGCTGCTAATCAAAAGGTTGGCAGTTTGAGATTTGAGGAGGCTGGAGGAGATTTGAGTCTACCCCGAGGTGCCTCAGAAGAAAGCTATGGCAATCTGCTTCCAAACTGGTTGTTGCCCATGAAAAACCATACAGAGCAGAATTCTACTCTGACACACACATGGGATCATCATGAATGAAATTGAACCCATGGTAACTGGTTTTAGAGGAGAGAGTAGTCAGTGAGTAAGGGGCAAAAACCAGTACAGATAACCACATTTTGAAGGTTATGCTGTGGATGTAGTTATTTGTAAGGGAGATAGGTAAAGGGGAGTTACTTTAGAAGATAACATTTCTTAAAGCCTAATTTGATGCTGACAGGAGCAATGAAATAGACATATAATGGATGGTGTATGCACAACAGAGAATGATTGCAGCAGTACTCTTGACAGATGAGAGTGAAAGGAATTCGTGGCACAAATGGAAACAGTGCTTTTTGATGCAATAAACTTTTGGATACAATCAATTATGCATTGGACTAGTTTTGGGGAATAAGCTTCTGGTGTCCAATAGCTGAAACTTCATCAGAAAAAGGAACTTCATTGTGTCTACAAGATGATTCAGACCTGAACCACTGATAATTAATACTCTGAAACAGGTATTTTAGTGATAAAAAAGATTTTCCCCTGTCCTGTCATGGTACTCTTAAACTGTTGTGTTATTTATTTATTTATTTTGGCTCCTTGTTTTTCCCACAAATAAGTTCTTTAAGTTTTACATGGAAATCCATTTATGAGCCATTTTCCTGCCATTGTGATATAATGATTTACTTCATTAGCATTATTAAATACACAAATAGTAAAACCTGTGAAAACCAGAACCTTCATGATAGTTAAGATTAAGTGTCAACTTTGCTAGGCCTGGTTGGTTGACTGGGCCGCTGGATGTAGTTATTGCCCATGGTAATCAATTCCATGGTGGAATCTATTGGAGCCTATCATGTTATCTGCTGATCTTGGGACTCTTATTGTTGTTGTTGTTAGGTGCCGTTGAGTTGTTTCCAACTCATAAAAACCCTATGCACAGCAGAACGAAACACCACAAGATCCCGTGTCAGCCCCATGATACTTGCTATACTTGAGACCATTGTTGCAGCCACCATGTCAAGTCATCTCATTGAAGGCTTTCCCCTCTTTTGTCGATCCTCCACCTTACCAAACATGACAACCTTCTTCAGAGAATGGTCCCTTCTCATAACATGACCAAAGTAGGTGAGATGAAGTCTGGCCATTCTCACTTCCAAGGAGCATTTTGGCTGTGCTTCCTCCAGGACAGATCTGTTAGTTCTTTTAGCAGTCACATGGTACTTTCAGTATTCTTTGCTAGAACCACAACTCAAAAGCATCAACTCTTCTTTGGTCTTCCTTATTCATTTTCCAGCTCTCACGTGCATATGAGGCAATTGAAAATATCATGGCTTGTGTCAGGTGCACCTTAGTCCTCAAGGAGACATCCTTGCTCTTCAGCACTTAAAACAGTTCCTTTTGCAGCTGACTTGCCCAGTGCTATATGTTGTCTAATGTCCTGACTGCTGCTTCCATTGGCATCGATTTTAGAACCAAGCAATGTGAAGTCTTTGACAACCCCAATCTTTTCTCCGTTTATCATGATGCTGCTTATTGGTCCAATTGTGAGGATTTTTGTTTTCTTTATATTGAGACTAAATCAATACTGCAGACTGTATTCTTCAATCTTCATCAGTAGTGCAAGCAAAGTTGTGTCATCAGCGTATCTCAGGTTGTTAATGATTCTTCCTCCAATCCTGATGCCACATTTTTCTTCATATAGTCCAGCTTCTCAGATTATTTGCTCAGCATATCGATTGAATAAATATGGAGAAAGGATACAACCCTGACACACTCTCTTCTCAAACCCACTGGCCACTCCTCAGAAGGAAGATGGGGCAATCTACTTCTGTAGTGATACTGCCTCAGAAACCCAAGGAGGGGTCGCTATGAGTCAGGTCCAACTCGATGGCACATAACAACAACAACAACAGTGTCCCCTTGTTCTGTTCGAACGACAGCCTCTTGGTCAATGTACAAGTTCCTCATGAATGCAATCAAGTGTTTGGGAATTCCCATTCTTCTCAATGTTATCCACAATTTGTCATGATCCACACAATCAAATGCCTTTGCATAGTCAATAAAACACAAGTAAACATCTTTCTGGCATTCTTTGCTTTGAGCCAAGATCCATCTGATAGCAGGTATGATATCCCTTGTTCCATGTCCTCTTCTGAATCCAGCTTGCACCTCTGGAAGTTCTCTGTCAATATACTGCTGCAACCATTTTTGAGTTATCTTCAGTTAAGATCTTACCTTTGTGTGATATTAATGATATTGTTTGATAATTTCCACATTCTGTGGGATCACCTTTCTTTGGAATGGGTACAAATATGGATCTCTTCCAGTCAGTTGGCTAGGTAGCTGTCTTCCAAATCTCTTGGCATAAGCAAGTGAGTGCCTCCAATGGGGCATCCATTGAAATATCTCAGTGGGTATTCTGTCAATTGCTGGAGCCTTGTTCTTCACCAATTCCTTCAATGCAACTTTGACTTCCTCCTTCAATACCATTGGGACTCTTAATGGACTTGAATTAGTGCCCTGCTGTGTGGCTTGGTAATACTGGGACAATTCCTTTTCACTTGTTGACTTTGGGTTTGTCAGTGTCAGCCATCAGCATCTGTCTGAAGAAAGCCTCCAGCTTCAGTGCACTGAACAAGAAGCAGAGCTTAAGCCCAAAGCCTAGAGGCTTCCATTCAGCCCCTACAGCCTGACACTGAACATGGACTTCTAGCCTCTAATACTGTAAGAGAATAAACTCCTGTTTTTTAAAACCACCTGTTTGTGGTTTATCTGTTAGAACAGTAGTTGAGGTAACCAAAACACCATGTAAGGTAAAAATCTATCAGAGAAGGAAAGCTTAAATATTTTCCACTAAAACAAAAGATACAAATGTGGTAAGACTGCACCCTATTGAAAGCAGAAAACTTGCATGATCCAGAACAAGGTAGTCCCATCAAATTCCAGCTCTCGCAGGTTTCACTGAATATTTTTATTAAAACTAGTAGGGGTATAATAATCAATTTAGTAGCTGTGAAGTGATGGAGGATTGAGATCAGCTCCTTTATAGGACATTGTACTAATTTACTTTTTGGGGTCTAATGGAGTACACATATTTTACCACTTATAGGGTGTGACCAGCTATACTGATCAGCTTCTGTGATTCCCTTCTCTCTGATTATTAATTGAACCATTGATTCTGGTCCATTTTTTTTCTGTTTTGATGTAGTTTTTATTTTGTCTTTGCTTGTGAATCACTTAAGCATTTGTTCACTCTATCTTATTTACACAGATAAAAATAATTACATATCTAAAGTTAACATAGGAGTTTCCATGTGGCTTTAAGGGTTAAGGGCTTGGCTAATAACTGAAAGGTTGGTGGTTTGAATCTTACCCAGAAGTACCTCAGAAGAAAAGCCCGATGACCTACTTGTGAAAGATCACAGGCATTTAAAACCATATGGAGCATAGTTCAACTCTGAAACATATAGGACTGCAATGAGTCAGAATTGACTCAGCACCAGGTTATTTCTGGTTTTTTACTTGACATATTTTCTTTAAAAAGGAAAAATACCCTTATTTAAAAATTCCTTTCCACTTAGAAATGTCAAAGAAATGAAAGTAATCTATAAAAAAAAATACAAACCCACTGCCATCGAGTTGTATCCAACTCATAGCTACCCCTCCTTGGGTTTCCGAGGTGGTATCACTACTGAAGTAGATTGCCCAACCTTCCTTCCAAGGAGTTGTTGGTGGGTCTCAACCACCAGCCTTCTGGTTAGCAGTCAGATTTTCTTAGGCACTACACCACCAGAGCTCCCAAAGTAATCTATAGCATCAATATTTTCATTGAATCAACAACTATATTTTGGTACACTTCATAGTAACTCCTCTCATTTGAGTATTCTTATGCAATATAGAATTTTATTCATTCAAATTGTCCCATTTAACCATTATATTTATCCTTTCTTTTTCATTATTACTATCTGGTGTTCAAATTTGCATTATTGAATTGCATAGGCCACTTCTTAATATGAACCTTCCAGGACCAAATTCTCTATAGAAATGACCCACACAAAAAAGGTATATGAAAAAAAAAAAAGTCCCAACATAAAAATCTTAATGCTTAAATTTTATTTTGGAGAGAGTAATTAGAAAGTCAGACATGTTGGAAGGTACACAAACTACAATTTTTTTGCTTCAGGTCTTCAGCTTGTGTCTTGTACCATTTTGGATCTCCATTAACAAAACTCAACGACAGCAAAAATTGAAGGTGACGGTACCGATATTGCAGTTAGTAATGCGACGCTCAGGGTAAGTGCATTGTCCTAGTCTGCAAGCACAGGTGGTTCTTGACTGAGCATCTGGGGAAAGAAGAGAAATGTCAGACACAGTCGACAGGAAGAGAAGGAGTGATACAGCCAAACTAACAGAGATATTCTAAAAAGCCATGTGACTGCTTACAATGAACACACTATCTGTCCTATTAGGAAGGTCAGAAATTACATTGTGATCATAAATCAATGCCGTCCAGTTGATTCTGTCTCATTGAACCCCTCCTTGGGTTTCCAAGCAGTATCTCTATGGAAGTAGATTGCCCAATCTTCCTTCCACAGAGTGGCTGGTGGGTTTGAACCTCCAGCCTTCTGGTTAGCCATCAAATGCTTTAGACATTATCAGAGCTCCTGGCATACATGTCTCAAATTCATGGTTACCAGCCTCTTATTTCAACTCATCCATAGATCCATTTCAAGCAATGCCTCCATGTATAACAAATTCCTGTGAAGGCTGTCAGTTCAAACCCACCAGCCACTCTTCGGAAGGAAGGTTGGGCAATCTACTTCTGTAGTGATACTGCCTCGGAAACCCAAGGAGGGGTCACTATGAGTTGGGTCCCACTCTATGACACATAACGAAAACATAATAAAACTGGTGTCATCTTGCTAGCTGAAGCTGCTGAGGTACACTTGCTTTTTTTACAGAACCAAATGCTTTCATGCTGAAAGTGCCCTTGAAGAAGATCTAACTTCAATGCTTTTGTTTTCTAATGATTGTACAGCTTACCTGAGCCACAAGTAGAGCTTGAACTCCCTATAGCACATTGATCTTACCTGAAGCCTCTTGGGCTGAGCGTTTGTCTTCTGCAAAGGAAACTGCCAAGTCCTGGTCCTCTGCTCCAGGCTCATTCTGGGCTGGTACCTCATCAGCTTTTAGTCTGAGTGCCTCAGCCTGGGCCTGGAGGGTCAGCAGGAGGATGGTAGCAAGGAGGATGATAGACCTCATGTCTGTTGTCCCTGGAGATCAGGTTGTGTATGGAGAAGCAGGAACTTGAGTGTGTTGGGGAATGAAGAAAGTCAGTGCTGTATTTATAGGAGGTTTGAAGGAAAGAAAGTGTTTCATGAACATGTGTGAATAGATGAGGGTGGAGTGCCCTGCAGCAGGTCCTCCTATCACACCCAGAGTCACTTTGATGTTCTTCGACCTACCTACTCCCTCTACTTACAGCATGATCCTATTTGCTTGGTGTCCATGTTTGTTTTTCATATGTGATGATGCTGGTTAGAAAATTGATAACCCTCCTTGTTCCTCATCTGCCTCAGTATTTGCCAGTAATTGTGTATGTGTGTGTATGTTGATAGGTCATATAAGACTTGAAAAGATTATTCCAATAACTTTTAAACTAAAAAAAAAATGGCTTTAGGTGGACATTAATTACACTGCCATAGTATTTCTCACATGCAACATTGGATAATAGATGCTACTTTTCACACGTCTGGGGGCAAATAACTTTAATGTAAAATTCTTTATCGAGGTAATAATAATTCACATTTCTGAGGACAAAGGTCATTTTTGGGAAGTTCTTGCACTTAGAGGATTTGATACACCTGAAATAATTTTTCAAAGTTAAAATGCTGAAATGAATTCTTCAGTAAAATTGAAAAGACCCAAGTAAGAAAATACAGGCATATTAGTATTAATAAACAGTTGTCAAAGAAAGAAAGTAAAATTTATTTATATCTTGTATAGACTGATTATCCATCGATGGTTAATGATAAAGTTGTCCAGCTTTAGGCTATTGTTAAAAAAAAAATTACTAAAAAAAAAAAAAAAAAAGGTACAGTAAAGTAAGAGTAAAACAATTAGTATTTAAAAATAAACTTCATATAAGTTCAACAAAACATGGAAATTGATCAAGAAATAAAAAGAGGTGGGGATTATGGATAATAATTAGTTCTTAGTATGAAAATAATCATTCAAATTTATATTTCAAACTTATGTTTACCACTGGAAGAATGTAAAACTAGGGTATATAATAAAATAGAACAGACACAGTGGAAAGCTGTAATAAAAAGAAGAAAGAAAAAGGGAATCAATAGATCATTTTAAAATAAGAATTAAAATTTCGGAAATCATAATTAATAGAACATACAAGCACAATGTCGAGAAATCCATTTGTTGTACTTGTTGTTTGCTTAGATTCTATCTGCAGCGAATAGATTGGAAGTTATGTGCGGGTAGAGATCTTGTCTACATTGGACCTTCGTGCCTTATCTGTGTTACTTTAGGATTTACTACTCAGTACCTTAGGTTCCTCATCTTTGTCTTCATCTTCATTGGGTTGTTCTGAGGTTAAATGAATAAAAACAATGTAAAGTGTTTTAGTGAAGCCTGATAAACTGTAAAAACTGAAAAAAACTTACTATTGTCATTAAACAAAGATAATGAAAATCCTTACAACTGACCAATAAGCAGCATTATGATAAATGGAGAAAAGATTGAAATTTTCAAAGATTTCATATTACTGGATTCCACAATCAACACGAATGGAAGCAGTAGTCAAGAAATCAAAGGATATATTGCACTGGGGAAATTTGCTGCAAAGGACCTCTTTAAAGTGTTGAAGAGCAAAGATGTCTCTTTGAAGACTAAGGTGAGCCTAACCTAAGTGATGGTATTTTCAATCACTTCATATGCATATGAAGACTGAAGAAGAGTTGATGCTTTTGAGTTGTGGTGTTGGCAAAGAATACTGAAAGTACCATGGACTGCCAGTAGAGTGAACAAATCTGTCCCGGAAGAAGTGCAGCTGGGATGTTCCTTGAAAGCAAAAATGGGCACACTTTATCTCACCTACTTTGGTCATGTTGTCAGAAGGTACCATTCCCTGGAGATGGATATTATGCTTGGTAAAGTGGAAGGTCAGAGAAAAAGTGGAAGACCCTCAACAAGATGGAATGACAGAGTGGCTGCAACAATGAGTTTAGGTATAGCAGGGATTGTGAGGCTGGCACAAGACCAGGCAGTGTTTTGTTCTGTTGTACTCAAGGTCACTATGAGTCAGAGCTGACTCGACACCTAACAACAACAACAATGTTGCAATTTTCATCATTCCATCATCATCAACTGCTGCTTTTTTTGCTCTTGCTGGGTCTGATCTACTTGGAATAGCAGTTGGCAAAGGTAGGTCTACAAGCGTGTATGTAATACCTATTTGAGCTAGTGCATGAACAGGATGACCTTGGCCTGAGCTTCCTATGTCAATAATTTCAACTTTCATTGTACACTTTTGCCCTGGTGTCCATCAGTACCAGGTGTTACTGTTGTCTCATATTCACCTTGCCTTCCTGTTTCCAGTTGAACATCCTGAGCTTTGCATATAGAAATGCACTGCTGCTTCCCAACTGGCTTTATTCTAGGGTTGCCTCTTCGATTATTCAGAAGATGACTGAGGGACCATTTGGCCAAATTTTGCTGTAGTTATGACCTTTCTCCATGGATCTCATCATATGTCTTTTGATCACCCGAAGTTCTTATTTATAGGTGAAAATTTTCTCTTCAGTTTATTTTCATCCATTCTGGAAACTGTGTGAATATTTTCTGCAAAAGATCCCCCTCTGTAACATGCCAAAGATTAGTCTTTCAAAACCATTACTCACTAAGGTTTTGCTTCTTGTACTTTATCCTTCAAGTCTGGAACCTTGGGCCATATCCTCTTCATTAAAGACAAGAAACCCCAACATATATTATTGGAGTCATGAGCAAGAGCAATCCCCGAGTGTTTTCAGATGAGAGTACTCTCATGGTTGAGTGTAGAGGGTCAGTATCATTTTTAGACTCCAGTTAAACAGAAGCATAGTCTGGATTTAGGAAGAATTAATCTGGATAAATTTGGACAAGAGTCATGGAGAAAATATTGCATTATAACCTATTTCCTGGAAGAGTCCTGGACCCACTAAGTAAGACATGTGATAGTTTATTTGCTATTTATGGGAGTCTTATGGTGCTTTTCACATAATAACTCTGAATAAACTCTTTGTCATAGTTTAACTGCTCTGATTCCATAATCCTACTTCCTTTGTCACATCATCTGTAGTGGAAATAGTTCTCCTATGGGAAACCTGGTTAATTGGATGGTTGATTACAAAATACTATTGCTTCCTTCCTCTGTTTTTTGTTAATTTAATATGTATCACAATACATTGTTGTTGTTGTTGTTGTTATATGCCGTTGAGTCGGCCCCGACTCATAGCGACCCCTCCTTGGGTTTCCGAGGCGGTATCGCTACGGAAGTAGGATTGCCCAACCTTCCTTCCAAGGAGTGGCTGGTGGGTTTGAACCACCAGCCTTCTGGTTAGAGTCAAGTGCCTTAGACACTATGCTACCAGAGCTCCTTCACAATACATTTGTACCAAGAAATACACTAATTCAACAAATATAGTCAGCTTTGAACAAGTGATTTGAAAATGCATTAGCAGTAATGGAATGTTAGCTGAGAAACATGACATATGCAGTTGTAATCTGTGTTCAGACTTTATAAATGAAATATTTACTAAGATTATAGTGGGATTTCTGGGACAATATAATTGATTTGTTATTTAGATATATTTGAGATCAAAATTATTTCAACATACTTTCTTCTGAACCTGCAAAAAACTGCAACCAGCTTGAGATATTGAACCCTGACATCTATCACTATCTGCCAACCACACTCTGAGAAACACTTGCATAGTTTAGTAGACAAGAGTCATGGAGAAAATAAAATATTGTGTTTTGGCGATATGGACATGAGGTCAAGTCTTGCATTTCCCAGTCATTAAAAGTTCATTTCCTTTTCTCAGATTGATCCTGGGTTGGAGCTAAGAACAGATATATATATATATAAACAAACCCATTGCCGTCGAGTTAGACCTGACTCCAAACAATCCCTCCTTAGGTTTCCAAGGCAGTATCACTACAGAAGTAGATTGCCCAACCTTCTTTCCAAGAAGTGGCTGGTGGGCTTGAACCGCCAGCCTTCTGGTTAGCAGTCAAATGCCTTAGGCACTATGCCATCAGTGCTATATGGTCAGGATATAAACCTGTGAGCAATAGGAATCTTATAACTAGGAAATAAACTACCAGACAGCTTACTTAGTCGGTCCAGGGCTTTTCCAGTAGACAGTTTATAATAAAAAATATTCTACTGTCAGTACACGATAATTGTTAATTACAGCCAGAGTAGTGGGTTCTTTTCAGTGATCTCCTTGGCTTTCCTTTAAAGGTGTAAGACTGCTGCACCAGTGACAAACATTACAGTGTCACATGATTATAAGCATATCGTTTACTTTTTTTTATCTCCATTTTTATTTGAGCAGAAAGACTTCCCTAAAAGATCCACCAAGAGACTTACACTCTGTTCCTGTTGCCCAGCACTGAATCACAAGCCATATTCAAGCTAAAGAAGCCTGGAAATCAAGTATGTGGCACTTTCAGAATCTAGGTTAAGACAAAAGATATCTGCCAGCCAGTAAACGGGTAGTAGAAAAGGTATTAGTTTGTAAACAACAGTGTCTGTCCCAATGACCCTGAAGAGGAGCTCCAGCGGAGTGCTTGAGTTGGAAGCCAGAGTCTTGTGGATAAAAGAGTGAATGAGAATTAAAGTGAGAGAGTGCATATAGGGAAATATAAGAAATTGAGTTGTAAAGAGTAGGTAAGACAGGGTCATAGCTGCAGTCAGTGGTCAAGTAAAAAGAAAACTTTTAATGCTGGAAAAAACTATACATTAAAAAATGTATTAAAAGGAGCTGGAAAAGTATGAACATGCAGAAAGATAAAAGATCATCATTTGATTCCAGGGGTGATTGAAGATGTGGTAGGGCATGTGATCAAGAGCATAAATGAGAAGTTAGTGTTAGAGAACGGAAGGACTTGTTTTCAGCAATGAACAAGGTTGCAAGTAAAGGTACACTTGGTTACTTTGGTAGCATGAAATTTCCTTCTGATAATTTCTATTTTCTCTGTGC